GAACAGTTTTCCACCAGTGTCCACTTTGCAAGTGGACAGTACTGCTCACCTTCCCAAGGCTGATCTTGTCCGGTCCTTTTTTTTTTTTAAGAATCTAGAAGGCTCTAAATGTTGTGTTGAGGACTCTTCACTGATGAAAGCAACGCAGTCCTCGGAAGGTGTGACCCCAGGAGCTGTACTCACGGGCTCATCTGAACACGCTTCTGCCCGTGGGGGTCCTAACCCGGCTCCTCTTCATAGACACGTCATTGGGGGGAGGGGCATTTCTTACCTTCCCGGCATCTCAGTTTCCCTTTCCACAACATGCATTACCCACATTTGGGCAATGTCCCACCTGTCCCCTCCCAAACCTATGCTCCATAAATTGTGACCATCAAATGAGTTTACTGAGCTGTTCATAAGAAAGACTGGGTGCCTTTCACGCGCTATGTATACAAACTCATGGGACGGGGACAAAAGAGGCTGCCCAGCCAAGGACCGCGGAGGAGGGGGCCGGGTCCCCATTCTCGGGCAGTGGTTCTGCATTGTGATGTCCATGTGACGCCCCTGGGTCGGTCGGTCTCTCATTCTTTCTCCACTTCCTTCCCCTCTTTATTTTGTCTTTATTTCTTTCATTCCCCACCCCCCACCCTGACCAGTCTTGGGAAGTGACTCTGTCATAGTTGGTTTAGATCCTTGGATGAGTTCACAGATTCTTACCTTATAAAATGTGATGTATTTATTTTCTAACAATTTTATGGAAAATGATGCACAGACCAGTGAATTATCACAAGAAATAGAACATCTTCCAGGTCAGGGCACAGAACAACATGAGCACCCAGAAGCCCCGCAAGCCCCCTTTGGGTGATACCAGCTTCCCTTCTGAAGGCAACCACTGCGCTGAGTGCTAAGACCATGAACAGGGTTGGGAACAAGCGTTCCACTGTGACCTTTACCTCTGTGAGATCCGACCACGGCATGTGTGTGGTTTCTTTAGCTGATGTCAGGACTGTATGGTATTTCATTGCACGAATATTCAAGTATGTTTAACCATTATAATGCTGATAGTCATTCAGACTGTCTCTATTGGGGCCATTTTGAATAATGCTACAATGGTCATTATTATACCTTTATTTTGGTACCCAAATACACACATTTCTTCTGGGTACAGACATAGGAATCATCAGGTCATAAGGTATGAATATCTTCAACTTCAGTAAATAAGTCATTGGATCAGTTTTCATACCCCTCGCAGTACATTTAATTCATATTTTTACCTAATTTTGTTATCATCTTTTTAAAAAAATTTTAGCCATTGTAGTAGCATCATATTTTAATTTTAATTTCTCAATTTAATTTGCAATTCCTTGATGATTAATAAAGGAAAGCACCTTCTCATATACTTATTGCCATTTGAGTAGTATTTTCATATTTTTATATACTTTGAAGCTGTGTTGATGGACACTTACAGATTTACAGTTAGTATTTGCATCATAAATCCCCTTATTTTTCTTGCTTTCAATATTTCTGTACTTCTATATTAAATATAGCATCTTTTATAAAAAAGCATATACTTAAATTTTATTGCTTTTATCCAGTCTGATGATCCCAGCCTTAAATTGAGTTAGTCACTTTGCATTAGTGAAATTACCATTTTCTCTCATCTATATCTGCCATTTCCATTTGTTTTCAGTGAGACCCATCTCTTTTATGTCTCTTCTTTTGCTTTTTGTCTTTTTCAAGGATAATCAAATATGTTTAATGATTTGATTTTTCCCCCCATTAAATAGGTAGTTTTACAGTCTTTCATTGCTCTGTTAGTGGTTGCCAGGGAAATCAGAACATACACCATTTACCTATTACAACCTAATACAAGTTTGCTTTTCTCACTGTCTCCATAACAACTGAACCTTGGAACCCTTCACCTCCATTTATGTTCCTCCTGCTTGAGTTATATAGGTAGTTGACCTTTAAATTCTTTAAAATGGTAGTGAAAATTTAACTTATTGCCTTGGAAATCACACCAGGCAATATTAATTTTGTTTTTCAATAAATGTTCAATCTATGTTTATACATGTATTTACGCTTTCCATCTCCCTGCCAAGGGTTCCATTCCCTGGTTTCCATTATATTTTTGCATGTCCATTGGGGGTCTTTTTCTTCATGCTTGAAGAGCAGTTTTCATGAAGCTTTTTTTTTCATGAAGCTCTGCTGGTAATAAATTTTCTCTTTTTTTCACAAAATATCTTTATTTTGCATTCAGGGTTAAAGGGGCTTCCCAAGTGGCTCAGTGGTAAAGAATCTGCCTTCCAAAGAAGGTGATGCAGGAAACTTGGGTTCAATCCCTGTGTCAGATCTCCTGGAGTAGCAAATGGCAATCCACTCCAGTATTCTTGCCTGAAACATTACAGGGACAGAGAAGTCTAGTGAGTTACAGTCCATAGGGTCGCAGAGAGTCAGACATGACTGAGCAACTACACACACACACACACACACACACACACACACAGAGGATTGTAGGATCCTTACTGGGTGCAGAATTCTGGGCTGGTGGGATCTGCTCCCCTCATGCTGATGATGCTAACCCCTTTCTCTTTGGCCTGCTTCCCCATTTCTGCTGAGAAGTCATCTGTCAGTCTGACAGCTGCTCCAGCAAAGATAGTGTTTCTTATGTTCCTTTAAGATTTCCCTTGTTTTCAGCATTTCTATCATAAAGAGCCTGGATTATTTTTGTTTGTTATTATTTTACTTCTTTCTTCTCCAGATTTCATGAGTCATTTTGAGTCTACCCCATTGCATTTCACAGAAATTTCATATTTGTAAATTCAAACTTTGTAAAATTAGGTATTCTTCAAATGTAGCTTCTTTAAAACAAAACAGTCTGTGCCCTGCTTAGAATGCCATTTACTAAGATTTTAGACATTTTCACTTGTTTTACATTGTCTCTCTGACATTTCTATATTTCCTAGGCTTGTCATCTACCTGTGCTTCTGTTAGGAATTCTGTTACCATTCATTCCACATGTCCTACTTTCTGCTACATCTAATTCTGTTAAACCCACCCTTAATTGTTCACACTCTATCTTTCAGCTCTAGAATTTTCATTTGACAGGTGAATCTATTCATCTATTTTGTCCACGATTAATTTACTTTCTGAGTTTGTATTGGCATGGAGCTGATTTACAGCGTTGTGTTAATTTCACGCGTATAGCCCTGTGACTCAGGCACACACATGCATGTATCCACACTTCTTGGATTCTCTTCCCACACAGGTCATTATAGACCATTGAGCAGAGTTCCCTGCACTACATAATAGGTCCTTATATCATGTGGTATCACTTGTATGCGGAATCTAAAAAAGAGCAGAAAGGAACTTATCTACAAGATAAAAATAGAACTACAGATGTGGAAAAATAAGCTATGGCTATCAGGAAGTAAGAGGGAGAGGGATAAACTGGGAGGTTGGGGTTGACATATACACACTACTATATATTAACTTTTTTTGAAGATATTATTCACTGGCATTTAAAAAATTTTATTTGGGTATAATTAGTTTACAATGCTATGTTACTTTCAGGTGTACCTCAAAGTGAATCTGTTATACAGACACAAATCTCCACTTTTCTTAGATTCTTTTCTCACACACACCCTTAAAGAGTATTGAGCAGTTTTCTGCGCTGTATTGTAGGTTCTTGTTAGTCACGTGTTTTATGCACAGCAGTGTGTGGTCAATTCCAATCTCCCAGGTTACCCCCTTTCTTACTCCCTGGTAACCGCAAGCTTGTTTTCTAGAGCTGTAACTCTCTTCTGGTGTTGTGGATAAGTTCATTTGCACCCTTTTTTTAAATATTTATTTTTGTTAACTTTCTGTTTTCGGTGGTGCTGGGTCTTCACTGCTCCACGCGGGCTTTGCCTGGTTGCAGAGAATGGGGGCTTCTCCCTGCAGTGGCCTCCCTCTCTTGTTGGGGGCACAGGCTCAGGCACGCAGGCTTCGGGAGTTGCGGCACCCAGGCCCAGTAGCGCCTGCACTCACACAGACCCCCGAGTACGCAGGCTTCGGGACTTGTGCCGAGTGCACTCCGTACTAGTGGCCCACAGGCTCAGTCGCCCATAGCATGGGGAACCTCCTCGGACTAGAGATGGAACCATGTCCCCTGCACGGGCAGGCGAATTCTTATCCACTGCACTGCCAGGGAAGCCCCGTCACTGGCATTTTAAAGTTCTTATCTGCTAAGGCCAACGTTTATTTGCATTACCTCTGAGTCTCTTTCTATTGTGTTTTTTTCACTCCATTTTTATCATATGACTCTATCTCCTCACAAGCCTCACAGTCTTTAATCTAATGCCAGACACTGTACATACAGAAGTGTGTGCACACATGCCGGGTGTTATCTAAGCCAGGGAGTGTTCTTCTTGCCTCTGCTAGACAAACACAGTGTGGATTCGTCGCCTTCATCTAACCCAGGCATTGGCAGGCATCGCCCACCCTACGGGCAGCCCTGCCCTGGCCTGCTGTCTGGTCATATGTGACATGTGTCCACAGCAGCTTTTACATTTTAAACAGTTCTCACAAAGCCTAAGCAAGACCCAACGTGAAGACTGCAAGAAACGCAACTTCCCCCGGTCACAGGCGGCTCGACTGGAGCGCAGCCCCAGTCGCGGTGTCCATGGCTGTGTCTCTCCTCAGCGGCAGACACGCGTTGTGGTGACAGAGGCCTGGGGGCCCGCAGAGCTGGAAACTCCGCTGGGCGTCTGCACGAAGCGGAGCTCGCCGGCCAGAAGGAGACCAGGGCCCGGCACGGCGCCGTCTACCTGCCAGGGCGCGTGACTGAGAGCGGCGGGCCCCGCGCGTCCCCCGGGGGTCCCGGGCCCCGCGCCGTCGCCCCGGGCTCTGCGACAGCCTCCCCGCTCCTCAGAGCTTGTGAGCCAGTGAGCCACCGGCCCGAGGCCCCGGGTCCGTGTCCCCCGGGGGTCCCGGGCCCCGCGCCGTCGCCCCGGGCTCTGCGACAGCCTCCCCGCTCCTCAGAGCTTGTGAGCCAGTGAGCCACCGGCCCGAGGCCCCGGGTCGTGTTCAGCCCGCAGCCTGAGGCTCGCCGGGGCTTCGCTCCCCGCCTCGCAGAAGAGCGCGAGCCCGGCCTCCTCCCGCGCGCCCGGAACCGGCAAGAGGCCCAGCGGGGTCGCGCCGCTCCCCTCAGAGCGCGCCCTCGGGTTCTCAGAGCGGCGACAGCGCTCCGACGCCAGGAGCTGTTCCGTGGGTTTTCCTCGTTCGCAGGAGAAGTCTTGACACGACGACTGCTTGATTCCACCCCGAAATGGAGACCCCCCTAAAATGCTAATCTTAACTTTCACACTTAAAACTGTTAGTCACCTGGAATTACTTCCTGTATTCAGAAGTAAATAGGAGAGAAGCTCATTTTCCTCCCTGTAGGAATAGCCAATAGACATCCCATTTATTGACCTGGGTTTTGTGGTGTTACCTTTGCCATAACTCGAGTGTCCCCACACACACATTTGTATTTAAACTTACTCTCTTCTATTGGTCTATCTTTGGTTCAACAACAAACTATCTTAAATCTCACTGAAAATAAATATTAATATGAGGGAAGTTCTCTCACTTTCTTCTTTTTCTTTAGCATGGCCTTGAATGGGCTCTTCACATTTCCATATAAATTTTAGGATTTTCCCATTAGTTTATTTTTAAAAACTAACCAAAAAAAAAAAAATCCCAAACAAACAAATGAAACCTGTTGTTGTTTGGATTGCCACTGCATTACCTCTGCAGATAAATAAGGGGAGACTGACAACTTTGCAATATTAAATTTTCCAATCCATGCACTCCACACATCCCTCCATTTAATTAGGTCTTTCTTAATTTCCTCAGCACAGTTTTCCCAGCACTTCTAATCGTTCTCAGTGGTAGTGTTGATCTAAATTAGCTTGCCCACCATTTCCAAAAGAACTCAGCCGTGTGTTATCTTAATTACACAGAATGCACTGCCATCGGCATTGTTATGCATTTTACTTATTCATTCAACTCTATAATCCGTGTTGATTTATGAGTACCTACTTTATTGCTTCTAATTGCTGTATACCAATCCTACAATATCCTTCACACAGAAGGTGATCTTACAAAATAATAAAATTTAAAAGTCAGTATTAAAAGAGATAAGGGTAAAAAATTCCCAGAGAAAGCCAGACAGATAGTCAATATGTATATGAAGACATTCAACCTTGCTAATAGCCAAAGAAATGCAAATAATGGCAGAAACCAACACAGTATTGTAAAGCAATTATCCTTCAATTAAAAATAAATAAATTTTTAAAAGAAATGCAAATAAAAACACTAGCTACCACTGCTATTTCTATCAGATCAGCAAAGATTGAAGAAAAAGACCTATGACACCCAAATTTAGTGAGGATTTGGGGAGAGAGCCACTCCCATTGTCTACTGCTAGGAGTTAAAAGTCAGTTAGTCAACATTTAACAACATGAAAAGTGTGCATGTTCTTTGATATGGCAGGCTTTCTCCTTAACGTTCATCAGACAAAAACACCACCACAAGTTCACGCACAAGCATGTAACACGATAGTCTTCATGATACCGGGCATACGAGGAAAACAATGGTTCAAACAACTGACACATCCCTGAACAGAAGACTGAAGACATGAGTTCTTGGTCATCTCCACAAGTGCTGTATCCTGCAGACTTTAAAACATCATCTGAAAATATGACAAAAAGATGCCTTAGTTATGCAGTGATGTTAAAACAAACCCAGACTCCCGAGTGTGTTACTGAGACACCTTCCTTTGTAACAGTGTTGTTTTCATAACTAACAGGTAGAGGGGGCTTCTGCAGTCAGATTGTCTGTGTCAGACCCAGGTTTGGGGCAACTCTGGGCAAATCCCATGGCTTCCTGTATCTTGTGAACTAATCCACATAAAACACTCAGACCAAGCCAGTCAGGCAGAATATGGTGTTACCCATTGCCATGTAACATGCACAATAATAATAATGCACAATAACAATAATAATTCATGTAGAGGAAGACAGATGAAATAACAGGCACAGTATTTTTCACAGTGACTAGCTCTGATTTTTATTTCTGAGTTAACCATACTTGTCATATTTTAATTTTGAAATGAGCATGTGTTACTTTGTAATCATCTATAATTGAGAAACATGATAAAGATAAGATGGACTTTTTAAAGAGAAAGGGCTAGGGACCACTTTTTAGGTACCCTGCTAAGCCTTGGTAACAACCTGGAGGGCGAGACATCTCCCCCAGGAGGTAGTCTCATGGAAAAATGAAAGAAAAATATGTAGCCTCGGGCACACGGGGCCTGACTCCTATCAGAATCCTGAGCTCCAGGCAAAAACTAATTTATTGAAACTTAAAGAAAAAAAATGCAACTTGACCGTTACTCTCTCCTTTCAAGTATTAACTTTTAAAAGTTATTGTGCACTATTTTTCCATTAGGAAATGGAATAAATAGCAATGAACTTACAGCAAAATTAGTAAATTTCATTTTAGACCTCTGGTTAACTTTTAGCAACAATTTAAGGCTTTCAGCTACCCTTGCAGAGCATTTAATGGTTTTTAAAAAAAATAGCTCACACGATAAATACAAATGCCTATGGATAATTTAAAGGAGGAATAGAGAATCACGTGGGGGTGCTTGAGAATGTTTCTTCAGGATTCTCTCTAACTTCTTGGGATGCAGGCTTAATAGTTAGGTGTTGCTGGCATCTACCACTCAAGCCAAGTTAGCAATCACCTTAGGCAGCTGGCCGCTCTGATTCGAACACTTCTCAAGAGGACTCACCACGGGCTGTACCTCGTACAGGACAGAAAAGGCCAAAGACGATGCTCGGGAAGAACATCAGCATCACCGTGCCTGTTGGGTTTCTGGCAGAAATGAGGTGGCTGCCGCCCCAGCGTCCAGCCGCAGAGAGCTGAGAGAAGGGGGTTTAGAGGCGTGGACGGACCGAGGGGATGTCGAGGGGTGGACACGCACTCAGGGGCAGCATCTCAGCCCTGCGGGGTGAGGGGCCAAGGCGGGGAGAAACGGGTGGGGAGGAGGGGGAAGGGGACAAATGCCCCACCTCCCCTTCTTACCTCCCCGTCCTCCCTCCGGAGTCTCCTCTGGTTCAGCCCCCTGGACTGAAATTCCAGAACCCAGAGCTGCCATCCCTGGAACTGACCCTGGTCCAGAGCCGGGTGAGAAGGGCAGAGAGGGACCCGGGTGCCCCAGGCGGCACTCTGCCCGTGTGCGTGTGACACAGTGCCTGAGAGCCAGCAGGGATCCTTCTTTCTCTGCCGAGTCTCAGCTGCGGCAAAGACCCTCCAGTGCCCCAGGAGGCGTCAAACAGTAGCTCGCATTCACGGAGCAGTCACCAAGCGCCAGGCAAACGCGCCGACTCATCCAGCCGGCCCTCAGGGCCAGCCTGCCCAACAAGCAGAGCCACCGAGATGGAAACGAGATTGTGAGACCGCGTGGTCGTGCTGGCCCCATCGAGCCCACTTCCACTCCCACCGCCCTCCACGATTCTCCAAGCGGCAGGGTGAGCTTTAAACTGCAATCGGACAGTTTCACCTGTCTAGCTGAAAGCTTTCAAGAGCTTCTTGAGAGCCTCAGAGTTAAAACTAAACTAAAACTTGTGACATCACCAGGCCTGCGTGCTGGGCCCACGCGCACCCCTCAGGCTTGTCCGCCCCTCCATGCTCAAGTCCTGCCCTGCCGCCGCCCCCGGGGCAGGCCAGGCTTGCCCCATCCAGGCCGTCCCCTGCTCCCCTCTGCCCCTGCCGTTGCCTCCAGCTCCTTCCTTCCGCAGCTCAGCGGCCACCCTGCCAGCTCCCCAGTCAGCCCAGCTCCACGGCAGAGTGGCTGCCCAGCTCCCCCTCCACTGCCCTTGTCTGCCCGCTTCTTGGCCACCTCCTCTGTGATGCATCTACTCCGCGGAGCCAGAGACCAGTGCCGCTGAGTTCGCAGCTGGGTACGCTCCAGGGCAGTGCTGGAAGGACGCACGGAGGGGCTGCACTTGACCGTGGTCTCTCGGTCGGCATTGCATGCTGGCACCCGGCACCAGAACCACCCTCCACCCCAGCCCACCCTTCCCCCAACCCTGAGGCCTGCGGTGACCCCGGCTGGAAACACACAGACATACAGGAATAGAGAGACCTTATTCTTCACTGTCAGCATAAAGGAAAGCAAGCCTTTCCTGTGGATCGGAACCACGTCTCAGCAGTGCTGGGCCCAGGGCTGGATGATCAGGTACGTTCCCGAGTTCTGCTCTCTGGGGGGCTCTCCTTGCCCCTCAAGTTGTTCTGGGTGGGGTGATGGTGAACCTGCAGCCCACTGTTGGCTCAGGGTGTCCCCGTGAGGCCACACAGAACCCCACCACCAGGGAACCGTGCACGTGTTAGTCACTCAGTTGTGTCCGACTCTTTGCGACCCCATGGACTGCAGCCTGCCAGGCTCCTCCGTCCATGGCATTCTCCAGGCAAGAATACTGGAGTAGGTTGCCATTTCCTTCTTCGAAGAAGAGACTGGGGTCAAACTCGGGTCAAACTCGGCTCCTCCCCTCCCTGCCCTGCTCCTGCACCCTCGACCGTGACCCGTCCAGGAGACACCTCCGTCTCGAGGTGCACAGATGCCAGACCTGCCTGCCCTTAACACTGGCTTCATCAGCAGCATCTGCTCCTCAGGTGTAGCTCTGGCCCCGCAGCCCCCTGCTGTCCCGTGGTCCGGAGCTCCGCCTCTTCCAGGCCTCATGGCTCCCCAGCAGTTTTTCCAGATGCCGTACAGAGCTTGCTGCAGATGCTGCAGATTGCAGATGCCATGCTCCAGAACCCGAAAGATCTAGATTCTTCTCCTGAGGCTTTCCATAAACACCACCGTGTGTTTCCCCACTGCAGATACTGCAGGTTCAACACTGGGCCTACTTGCTCACACAGCTCAAGATGCCAGGCAGCCTGTAGCAGAAGCTGGATGTGCTGTGAGCCCTGCCCTGCTCTGGGCCAGGTCCAGACTCAGCACCCTGGAGCAGCATTCCCCAGGGGGCAACGTGGAACCTATCGGGTTCCCTGCTCCTTTCCTTGTGGAAGATGATACAGGCACAATGTGTTCTTTGCTTGGAAGCAACTTTCTCAGGCTGCTCCAGACCACTGAGCCCCTAAAGACACCTCCTCCCCCCAAGAGCAGAGGCCTGACTCTTCACATTTCTTATCTCACACCCTCTGCTAAGGCCTCCAGGGAATTTGCTGCTTCTTGTTCAACTGGTCTGATTTTACACATCATGGGTATAGCTTGGGCTCCAAAATCACTGTGGACACTGACTTCAGCCACAAAATTGAAAGACGCTTGCTCCTTGCAAGAAAATCTGTGACAAACCTAGATTGCATATTATAAAGCAGAGACATCCCTTTGCCAACAAAGGTCTGTCTAGTCAAAGTTGTGGATTTTCCAGTAGTCATGTATGGATATGACAATTGGACCATAAAAAAGGCTGAGTGCTGAAGAATTGATGCTTTCGAACTGTGGTGCTGAAGAAACCCCTTGAGATTCGCTTGGACAGCAAGGAGAGTAAACCAGTCCATCCTAAAGGAAATCAACCCTGAATATTCTTTGGAAGGACTGGTGCTGCAGCTGGAGCTCTAGTACTTTGGCCACCTGGTGAAGAGTGGACTCATCGGAAAAGACCCTGATGCTGGGAAAGATGGAAGGCAGGAGGAGAAGGGGGCGGCAGAGGATGAGATGGTTGGATGGCAGCACCAACTTGATGGACGTGAGTTTGAGCCAGCTCCAGGAGATGGTGATGGACGGGGAAGCCTGGCGTGCTGCGGTCCAGGGGGGCCGCAGAGAGCTGTACACAACTAGGCAACTGGACAACAGCAGCAAAGGGTATACAGACCCAGGCGGTCCTGGACGTTGGGTGTTCAGGCTGCCCTGGACTCTGGAGTGTCACTACAAGACCCTAAATATGCACTTTTGTCTGCCCCTCGTGAGCACAAACCACTCATGAGCTCCTTCCTGAAGGGCATGGACAAGGAGGCTTTCACCCAATCAGTGGCCATGGACTGCAGCTGGAGGCTGCACTAACCTGCTCTCACAAACACCACTTCCAGCCCAGAGCTGCATCGGGTGCCAGGTGGCTGAATCTGTGGCCACATTCCACCATCTTCTGTGGTGACATAGGTAAGTTTTATGCAGTCCAGTTTGATAAATTAAAGAGATATACAGTGATGACTACTATCCCTATATTTTTAAGTCTTGAAAGGTGGCTCTGCTCTCTGCCACCACCCCCCACCAAAGATGTAGTTGTGCTTTGTTTTAGCTTTTATGTATTTATTCTCTTGGGGGAAGGTTTCTACTTGGTCTTCTCAACAATGATAGACCAATGGAACAAGTCAACAGTGGAACAACTGTGAGGATCCTCCAGCTGCATAATATGCCATTCTAATTATGCATTCTGGGACAGGCAGACACCAGACAACAATCTACAGACACATAAGGGTCGGCCATCCCTGGGACGGGACTCCTCGTATCACCTGCCCAGCACACCTCCCCTGTCCCGGAGACCACAGTGGGGCGGTGGGCATTCGGGTGTAAACGTCAGTCTGGCCCAGTAGCCTCTCTGGTGTTCGCTCCCTCCCTCAGGGCATGTGGCCTAAGTGAGGTGACACACACTAGTAGAAAACAGTTACTGAGCTTCCCACAGATGAGTAGAGGGGCCGTGGACCAGGCTCGCTTGAGGGGTCTGCCCTGATCTCAGCCTGGGCTTCCAGCAGCCACCAACACGCAGCCCAGGGAACACGCACTCTCGCAGAGGACTTTAGAGGGGGGCGAGGGAGTGAAGACTTGCGCTTCGCAGTGGCACAGATGTCAAGACTGGACTTGCTCTGCAGGGGCCGGAGCAGCTGAGTCTGGGCAGCTGCCCAAGTTTTGGCCAGAACATTGGGTCAAAGCTGCTTCCAAACCCCTCGGCCATTACCGTTTAATGTGCCCATCATTCAAGTTTAGGAGACCTTGTTTTCTCAGATTACGGCTGGAACCAGCAGCTTTGAGGGCCAAAACACTGTGAAAAAGAATAAAATCAGGGACATAGGAGGCAGCTCTGCTGCTGCTGCGCTGCCCCTGGCTGTACACCCAGTAAATAAGCGGCCTTAGATTCATGCACACATGCAACCCAGTGGGCCCGCTGAAGCTTGAATAAACAGCCTAAGCCTTCAAAGTGGCCGGACTGAGATGCAAACATTCCAGGCCTCTGTGACATGGCTGAAGGGAATCTACAGAGCTCGGTCTCCAGTGAGATAATCAGAATGATGAGCACTTACTGAGTGTTAATCGTGGTGCATGCATTTCTCACTTAACAGATGAAGGAGCTGAGGCTCAGAGAGGGTAAGGGAGCTGCCTGGCCATGCCCAGCAAGATGGCAGAGCGTGAATGTAAACGCAGGGGGCACGAATCCGAGCAGGAAACCGCCCCTCCCCGGCACTGACTCATCTCCAGCCCCATTCTGTGGCCTTTCTTCCTGGTGCTCATCACTGCAAAATTAGAAAACCCAGACTCAGCGTGCAGCCCCGCCTCTGCCTCTTTGTGACACTCTGGTTGGCAAAGCTGAGCCTGCCCAGGGCTCCTGGCATTTCCCCACCTCGCCTGGGCTACAGGGAGGAGGAACTTGTGTCTGATTCTGTCTTCTGGTGAGAAAGAGATCAACAGTGTCAAAGACTTCAGTCACATGGTAGGAGGTGCATTTTCATTTCTTACAACATGACACCCTATGTTTTCTTTTTCTGAAAACAGGACACTTTCTTATGAGAAAAGTCTAGATCTTTAAGACCTATAGTCTGACCTTCAAATATTGGCTCTACTGCATGCTGTCTGCGG